TCGTGCTTCTCTGGAACCTTTCACACGTTCCAAGTAAACACTCAGGCACTCTGCTGAGCTAACACACATAGCCTTTGTGAGGGGAATAATGCAGCACAGATGAGCTACTTTGAAATACCTGATGTTTCTCCCCAGAGGAAACAGTAAGAAGATTTTTTGGACTAACTCAATATCACAACAGAGTCACACGAACCAGGGCAATACCAGTTCTGGAGCTTTACATTAACACTAAACCGCCCTAAAAGCAGATGGTATTCAAATAAAGCTAGAAATGTCATGATCTGTGAACTTACATAATAAGTGGGTTAAAAGAACACATGGCCAAGTCTTTCCACAATCAGTGATGGTGGGAGAATAAATTAGCATTGACATTTCAAAGGTCAAGCTTAAATGACTCGAGAGCCTTCACTCCATTTACAAAAATGACAATTAACAAAGAGACACAGGAATCAGAACCACCTGCAGCAAGAGAATCATGAGTGTGACACATTTTGGCAGCCCCAGATGAGCTTTAAGAGGGCAAATGTCAGGTAACAGCAGCATGGTAGTGACAGAGTGCAGCAGGAGCTGCTTCATCCCCTGGGTTGGTGCTATTGCCTGAGCACGTGGCTTGGTTATCTTCACATGGTGAAATGTGACTCTGCTACCCTGTTCAGGACATGAACAAGTCTAATGTAGGCTTTATTTGCCATAGACATACTTCTGTCTCTGCCCTGTGAAAATGTTCTCTCATGTTGTCAGTGCTAGGACCTGGCAACACCATCTCTTCCCATGAACAAGTCAGGCTGTGATGAGCTAAATAAATTCCAACCAAAATGCAAGGCACATGCTTCTGTGAAAGCCTTTTCAGAAAAGTTCTTAAGAATGGGTATCTGGAATGGAAAGCAAGTCAGGAACACAGGAAGGTGAGAAAAGAGAGAGAAATAGGGAACGATAGCATTTCACTGTAGCAGAGATGGGACTGAATGAGCCTACACCACATGCTGAACGTGCTGCAGCTCTACAGAAAATACCAAATATGTGACAGACACGAAGGATACAGCACGCTCCTCTCAACTGCATGGTATTTAGGTAGCAATCAAAAAAAAAAAAAAAGAATAAAAATAAAAAACTCACTGCTTCCATAGGCTAGACTTGTAATGAAAGGCAGGTCTTTAGGTTTGTCAGTGTTGAAAGTGTTGGCACTCCTGAGCCACAGCAGTGCTCTCCAGAGAAGCAGGGAGCACATTTCCAGCCTGCCATCACCATGCTGCTGTCCCATGGCACACACAGCACTGGGCACAGCTGCACACTGAGCTGGCAGTGCTTGGTACGAAGGTGAGGAGGGATGTCTGGTCAGGAGCTGCTTGCAGCCACACAGCTGGACAAACTGCCCTCAGGACAGACCCTATACACAGCCAACAAATCAGCCCTGCAACAGAGCCTTCAGGGCAGCAACAGCGCCTGGGAAGATCCTCATATTCCCACAAAAACAGCTCTTCCCTCTAAAATACATTTAGAGGTGACAATCTCACCAGCTCTGCAAGGGCTGGCATTCCCTTAGATTAGGGTTTATTGGTGGTTTCTAATTCATGGCCACCCTGATGGTTTCATTTGGAGAGCCAGGTTGATTTCCAGATTAGCAAAGGGAGACAGAAGTGGGGCTGGAACTTCTGGCTGTCCTCATCTCCAAGGAGGTCTCCAGGGGCTTTTCCCACACTATTCCTAGGACAGGGCTGCTGGATGGACTCACCCTGAACTTCTACTACTTTGTTCCTCTCTCCCAAAATACCTGCTGGAGCCTAAGCATGATTCTCTTGGCTCTTTGTAATCCGAGCTTGTATCTACAGATGTCAATATATTCCCTCCTACCCTCTTCTCCACAGAATGATGCATATGCACAAGCCCCTGCTTTTTTTTCCTCCCTCAAATTTCCACCTCTTTCCTTCTATCAAAGTACTTCTGGTCCTCTCACCACCTCCAGCACAGAACACACTACATTTTTAGCAGGCAGTATTTAACGTCACTATTTATGCCTTTCTTTTTGTTTGGTCTATTACATCTATGGGGAAAACATTTCCATTAATGGACACGGTGTCAATTCAGAGTCAGAAAATGTTAGATTTTGCAGCTGCCTCAGCTGGAACCTTATGACCAGAATCCCACAGCCAGCTTCACCCAAGAGCAGTCTGAGCTCTGCTTTGGCTCAGGACAGGCTGTGACTGTGGCAGGCCAGGCCAGACCTGGTTCAGGGCAGCTTCTGCAGAAATCCCAGGCACTCCCAGAGCTCTGCCAGGGGAGGAACAAGCAGTAACAGAAGAGAGGCAAAACCGACCCTGGCTGCCAGGATTTCATCCTCCCTGAGCTTCAGGAGGCTGCTAGCACAGACAGATAAAATCCTTCTCCTTTAACACCTCCTCACTCCCAGCTCCAAGGCTTTATGATGGGCACAGGGCACAACCCCTGCTCGTGAGCAGCCCTACTAGGACAGCATTCCTATACCCTGTGGGCATTCTTCCCTGGCAGGGGCCGGCAGCTCCTGTCAGCAGCAGACAGGACAGCATTCCCAGGAGCACAGGAGGGAGGGAAAGGTGAGGAGTGCTGAGCTGAACCTGTCCCCTCCTCACTCTGCCCATTCACACACCCACAACAGGCAGGGGGGCAAACAGAGAAGTGGCTTGGGAGGGATGACAGAGCACATCCACACTCTAGTCACTGTTGGGGTGCTCAACAGCAAAGGAAAACAAGAATAATCTATATTCAAGACACATGTTTCCTCATCTATAAATTCTGTAGCAAATCTGACACTAAAGGACTAAACCAATTGAGCAGTTCTGCAAATACTGTGCAGATGTTTCAAAGCCCCCCCAACAATTTATACTACAGTGAATACTGCTTTACTCTTGTGGTTTTTTGAACACTTTTTCACACAGACCTTGAGCGCTATGTTTCCAGCAATATACTTTGATTTCAGTATCTTCTGCATATGGAAAGTACCAAGACAATGGCACTTTTGAAATATTTCAAAGGAATGAGGCAAGATGCTGACTGCTTAGTGCAACCCTTGAAAATTAAAGTATTCCTTTAAAGACATAAATGAAATTACTAGATAAAGCAACTATTGCATTAAGATTAAAACATTAAAGATTATATTTGTTTATTTGTTTTAGTTGTTTAAGACAGAAGCTTCAGGAATACCAGAGTTGGACAAAGCATCAATTACAGGTGGTTACAGCCCTTGCAGGGCATTTTCTCCCCTCTCATTTTTCTGCTGGAGCCTATAAACTGTTTAAACTTTCCATCAGGATGTATTTTCTGAGCATTCCCACACACAGAAACAATGGCCCCATCACCCTGACAGTGCCCAGACAACAGGTGGGCTGGGGGATGCACAGGCAGACCAGGGCCAGTGCCTGCTCTTGCTGCTCATTTCTTGTGTTAGCAGCAATGTTCTCACTCTCCTAATGAAGACAGGACTGAAAATTACTGTGTCATCTTTCAAATTTGAAAAGTGCCTGACTAAAATTCAATTATGATAAACTCTGTTCTAGTCCTGTTAAAGTTTTGATATGAAATTTAAAGGTGAAGGAGTAAAATTCTTACTGTACCACTGAATATCTGGTTAAAGGCAGCTCCTCATCCCATTATTTTAATTTTTATTTTGCAAACAAAAATCATTCTCCATGCATATTCTATTACCCTACCTCTGAATTCCCTGGACAGGGTGTGGACAGCAGCAGCAAGGGAAATTTAAACAAGAAAATAATTTTCACAGGGGCTGTGAGAAGTCGGAATAGCTGTACTGTAATGAAAACGTGTTGGAATGAATTCATTGCCATCTGTCTTTATTTTGCTAACCAGCTCAATCAGACACCACAAATTTACTCAAACATGAGAAAAATATTTAAATTATTTGTGTTCTGTCCTTTTTCAACACGTAAATCTCAGTGTCAGTGTTTTTGTCAGTTTGAATGCTCATCAATAGCAGTGAATTCATTTGTGCACAGCCTTTGGGGATATACCTATGCAACTTCAAATCCACATTATCAGCATAATACAAAAAAGCCCACAGTGAAAGTTAGACTATTACAATTTTAAAGTTGTTCAAGGAAGCATGACAAAAAAATACAAAAGAAACTTTGTTCCTCATTGACAGAGTAATTAAAAAGCCCTACAGCTTTTCTAATTGACGGATAGGAGAAAGCTCAAAACAAAAATATCTTGTAGTTCTAACACAACATTTCTCATGCAAAGCATAATCCAATAAGAGTAAGAAGGAAATTATGGAGAAAGGGGAAAAATTGACTGTAAGAAAAATACAGAAAATAACAACAAACTATCAGAAAACAATTAATCAACAAGAATGAAACAAATGTAGAGCTGCAGGAATGTGCCCTGGAAGCCACCTTCTCCCTGGACCCTGTCCCTCAGCCTTCACAAGAAGCCCCAGTCTCTCCTAATCCTAAATTTCCTTTTCCTAAAGGAAAGGTGCCAGCGAGGACTGCTTTGGGGTGAGACCACATTGCCCAGAGTCACTCCTGGGGAGATGAGAATTTCTAGACAAGGTCAGCCTCAGCAGCTGCCCAGACACAGCTCATTTCTTTGCACCCTTCAGCTGCAAGGCAGCTTCAACCCTCCCAGCCTGCAGTGCAAGGAGGTAGAACTAAATCCAGGGCCATTCCCCTGGGCACAGCCTGGACCTGCAGATGTTCCTTTTGCTGCAGACAGGACTCAGCAGCAGAGCATGGCTTTGCAGCACCTGAGGGGAGCTACTGCTCAGGAAGTGGTGCAGAGTGAAGGTTTAGTGGACTTGATGATCTTAAGGCAGTTTTCCACCCTAAATGCTTCTATGGTTCCATATCTACTCCAGAGCTTGGCTTTGTCAAAAGAAGAGGTCCGGCATTATAAATGTGAAAGGCATCCCCTCCTCCCACCACACCACTCCACCACAGTTTTCTCAAACACCAACAGGGCAGGAACCAGCAGCACACCCACACCAAACCCTCCTTACACACACCCACCTTCCTCTGCTCAGCGCTCCCGATCCAGCTGGTCCCCAGCAGGAGAAAACAATTAGAGGGGTGCAGAATGAAGGACTCCCGGCAGCAGGACACACTCACAAACCACTGGGCACAGCAAACCTGGGCAGGTTTAAGCAGCCCCCTCTCTGCAGAGGCAGCAGCAGAGCAGCCAGGGCACAGGCAGAAAGTGAGACCCTGCTGCTGCCTGGGAGCCAGGGCACAGGGCAGCACCTCTCACTGCCTGGCAGAAGGGATTTATGCAGATAAAAGGGCTTGGTAGTTCAGGTTCCTGCTCCACATCCAGCTTTAGGGAAGGGGAGCAGAACATGTGGAAGGTAGAGGTTTGCAGAGCTGTTCTTTAGTGGTTATTTGGGGCAACAGGCAAAGTTTCAAGTTCTCTCTGTATTTCAGGCTTCAGTCCCCATCATTCATTCCCTTCCACCAGCCCTGCACATGTGAAAGGCTCCTGCTCCCAAAAACAAGAGTTGAGCAAGGCTGTTGACAGCAAGAAACAAATTTCATACTGTACCCAGCAGAGCTGCAAGTGTGTTAGCAGCGGAAAAAATCAGCACTTCACTGAGGTTCAAGACTTCTACAGTGGAAACACATGAAGGAACACTCTGCTGAATCTTTGCATTTCTCTTTTTTTAGCCCTTTTTTCCCCAAGTTTGTATTTTTCCACCACATGCAGACAATACTAAATTTGGAATTCCTCAGCTGTGCACAGCAGTAAAAACATGTAGTCCTTTAATGCTGCCTCTTATGAAATCTCTTTTTCTGGCACAGCATCTTTCTTGCTAGAACAGACTAGAGATACAGAGAATTCCTCAGCGCAACCTAGAGACTAAATTTATTTTATGTAAATAAACATTTTGAAATAACTTGGACTAGCAGCTGGTGCTGCCATCAGGCACCCCAGAATATAACCATGACTGCCAGGCTGAACACGAGCAGCCAAACCCCAGCACAGAGCAAGGGGAAAATGAGCCAAGGGAAACACAAATCAGCACCTCAGCAACTGCCTGGGACACCAGCAACACTGGATAGAGGACAGAAAGCTGCCCTAAATCAGACAGAGAAGAAAGTCAGCATTGCTTCTGACACCCCAGAAAAGTCAAGCACAAGCTACATGGGGCCACTTGCAGGAGAACAAAGATCATAAATACGCCATTAGTGAAAGGAAAGATCAAAATATCTCTGTGAAAAGGAACAGGGAAAGCAAATCAAGGAAGGAAAAAAAAGAAAAACCATCAAAAAACCATACCTAAACCAGAAAGGAACATCAGAAAGAGCTTTCTTCATTGAAAACTCGCTGTAGTAAATGGATATTTGGGAGGTAATTTGTTTCCATCCCTTTTGCAGTTTAGCACTGATGCTCTAAATTATTTCATTCACTGCTTCAGATGCAAAGCTCATTTACCATCAGAGGACCAAATGCCACAGACTGTCAGGTGAAGGATGTTTGAGTCTGCAAAGTTGAGCAAAGCCTAGGTGGAGGAGATTCTGAATAATGCAGTTTGAGAGTCATGTGGGTCCACAATTTTTCATCTAAATCTTCCATCAGGGAATAAGTATTTCAGCATCCTTTCCTTCACAGAAAACTCATTTCAGTCAAAATACCAGAGACAAAATGAAATGCCTCCCTTTTGAAGAAATCAAAGGTCAAAGAAAGTTTCAATCTTTGGATTAAAAACAATAAGAGGTGACTCTAGCCCCTCAATTGATTTAATTATAAAGAGGTAATTAAAAAGTGCTCTACTCAAAGAGTGAAAAAGCAGGCTTGCAAACTGAGTACACAGACAATTGCATGCCTGAAAGCTGGGCACATGGCATGAATAATGGGATGGCTGAGAGCTGTTCCAGTTTGCCATTTTTCTTTATCCAGACAGGGTTTGATGGAAACTACAAACGCAGAGAGGATAGTTGATAAGGGAGTATTCATTGTGAAAAGATGGCTTAAGATGCAGATGTTGAAGACTGGAATATGCCTCAATCCTCTTACAGAGGTGATTCCCACAGCCCTTGTGCCCTGAACAGTCTGTCACAAACTCTTCTGGCTTTTACAGTATTGCTAGATTAGCTCTTAAAAATAAGAATTTTCCTGAAATGTGAAAAAAACAGGATGTCCACAAAGCATATGAGAGGCAGGCTGTTGTGGATAGCTTATGGCGCACATAGAAGAGAGGCAAACGCAAGCAGAAGTTATCTGCAATAAAATATTCAGTAACTGGGCCATTATCAGGCACTTTCATCATGATAACAGCCTCCCAGCTGAGATTGGGGTATTAATATTGGTAGGTGGATACCTTCCTCTTATAACTTTGCCCTAAAAACATAAGCAGCTTTTACATTTTTAATTACGACTGGATTTTATTCTGAGGCTATAATCCTTTTCGAGCAATTGGATTAATGAAAATACTGATTTATAGGGAGGAATAAAAAATAATCCAGTGAGAGCAAAACTACCCTGGCAGAGGAGAGTCCCAGCCCTCAAGGAGTCCTTCAGTACAGTGGGACACAGAGCGAGGTCAGAGGAGCTCCATCAGCTCCCACCAGCCACAGCCAGCAGGACTGAGCTTTGAGGGGTCACACCCAGCTCCTCTTGGGAAAACACCTGGAAGCCAAGCACTGCTGTCCTGGCACTCTCAGCACTGGGTACCCTGTTTTCTTTAAGCATCAGAAATTAATTTTCATCATCTCATGTCAGGTCTTTATTTGCATTCATGTAGGCTCGGGACAGGCAGTGAGATGAGGATGCTGAGATGATACTCCCACAGTGCAGCTCCCCCGAGAGAGTTGTTTGTTGGCACGTCCTCACTGATTGAAAATGTGTCCCATGCCACCACACATCCCTCCTTTTTAAATTTCAGCACAGAATAAAGAGCAAAATTCCTGTTCTTGAGCAGGGTTTCAGCTCCAGAAAGCAGATCTTGGGCCACTACAGATTCAGGCTTTATCCAGCTGAGAATGGACTTTCATTTTTGCAGCCTCCACAAGTCACCTCAGGTGCAATATTTTGCTCCTGAAATAAATTTTGCTTTTAAATATCTAATTCCGTGTATTTTAGCACTTACTGGGGTAACTGCTATTCACACAAATGTTCAGTTTGTCAAAATCACCTAGTGAAAAAAAAGCCATCATTTAAAAGTGTTAATTCATGGCAGAGAAAACATGGATCAAGGTTCTTTGTTTGCTACTGTAGATAAATGAGTACAGCTGCCTGAAAAAAAGAACATTTAAAAACTTCTTATGGAATAACATTGTAAAAAGCTAGGATACAAATTATAGGGTTTGGGGCTTTTTTATTTAAAACAAACGAGAAGGTTTGGTTTTGCTTTGCTCTTTTGGTTTTTAAAATAAACTGACCAAACAAAAATAAAAACAATACAAGAAACAACAATAACAACAAACCCCAAACTTAAATATTGATACATGATTTACACAATGTTTTCCTGTTACATGAGAAACACGGGTTTATTTTTCCCAAATTCTCAGTGATAGTAGAAAGCACAAAATGTGCAAAAAAATTAAACACCATAAAATAACACTAATAGAATACATGTACCCAAAGTGAATCACCTTGCTGTTAGGAGCCAAAATTAGATTCCTGCTATTATTTAAGTCCTGCAAAAAAATTCTTTTGTGGAGATCTGGAAAACTGCAATGACCCTGTAAGATCTAATGCCTTATTTTCCTGCATCTGCAACACAAATTTTGGACAAGAACAGCATACATGCACACCAAGGAAGCTTTAAAAACTGTTGTGTTTTGGAGGGTCCCAGGACAAGGGAAGAGATGAATCTGACTCCATATTCTTAGAAGACTGATTTATTATATGATGATATGATATGATATGATATTAAAATAAAATGCTATACTAAAACAATACTAAAGAATAGAGAAAAGGATACATCAGAAAGTTAGAAAAGAATGAACAATAAAACCCCATGACTCTCAGAGAGTCTGACACAGCTGGCTGTGATTGGTCATCAAGAAAAAGCAATTCACATGGAACCAATCACACATGCACCTGACACATTCCAAGGCAGCAAAACAGGAGAAGAAAAATCAGATAATATTGTTTTTCTTTTCCTCTGAGGCTTCTCAGCTTCCCAGGAGAAGAATCCTGGGCAAAGAGAATTTTTCAGAATATATCATGGTGACAGACAACAACATAAAAAAATTAAAAATCCAAAACATAAGCAGGCCCACAACATCTCTTGCAGGTTCTCTGTTCTCAGGTGGCCATTGAGCTCCATTATGTCCACATTGCATGCGCTGTGTATGTGACAGATACACACAGCATGTACAATGAGGACACGATAGAGCCACACTGGAGAGGTCACAAAGTTGCTCCAGAGAGGAAAATCAGCCTCTGGTGGCCCAAGCCCTGCAGCAGCGCTGGGAAAAGTTCTCTGCTGGAAAAAGAGGTGATGCAGCCAGCTGGAATGCCCAAGAGTAAATTGGAGAAAGGAAGAAGCTGGTTCAGAGCTAGTGAGTTTAAAAAAGGGAGTACATCAAAAGGCACTGTGAGAAGAAAGCGTACGGGAAATAATCTAAGTTTAATTGCAATTACCAATATTTCAGTCTAATGGCACTGCGGTGTTACTGGAAGCCAACAGATTTATCAGTGATAAAGCAGAACTTTCAGAAACAGCTGCACTTGCACTTTTTTTTCAGCACTTGTACTATTACCTGGATTTCTTAAAAAACATTATTGACAACTGCAAGGAGTACTGCAAAATAGGAAGAAAAAATTTCCTCATCCCCTCAACCATGAGTATTTTGAAAGCTTTTGAAAAACAGCACTAAAAGTATACCTTCAGAGCTCTGCACTTCAGGCAAATAAGTTCATAACAAATAAAATTTTATTAAAGCCCACAGATGTTTTTTATGGATATTGCAACAAGGTATTTATAAAATCACAGCAGAAAAGATGGTCTGGAGACATATTAGCAATCTCTGACAAAAGATCAAACTACAATAGATACATTAATAAAGTTTAAAATAAGAAAGATCAGCAAAGAAAAGATTAAAAATAAAGCAATATCACAACACAACACATTTCCTTCTTCCACATGATTTTGTGTTGCCGCTGACAACACAAGAAAAATGAGGTTTTTCCACATGCACTGAGAGCTCACAGAATTATTCTTCCTGGCATTAAGGTAATGAAGGGTGTTTTCCAAATGAAATTGTCCCAATAAATATTTTCCAGAAATTTCTTCCCATTTACATGCCACAGAAAGTGTTCTTCTTTTTTATCCTAGTGGAGAGTTATTTCATACAGAAAGCAATACAGAAGTCTTGACCTCACAATATTTTCTAAACCTGTCTCAGTACTCT